GATATGACGATGATGGTTAAACTGAAATATTTTGGAATAATTTTTTTTTATAATTCTCCACTTTTCTTCATTTTTGAATACTAAATAAATATTTTAACAATAATTATGGTTAAGTACCACCCTAACCGCTATATAATTAAACATAATGATTCTTTGTTCCGAAATATACATCTATGATGTTTTTGCCAACTTGAATAAAATTGGTTTCAACAGTTAATCACTGAGACAGTAATTGTACTAGTCGTCTGGGCAACGTTTCAGGGTTCTATAGGCAACGGTGAAACCCTTATACAAATTATAAGGGTTAGTTACTCTTTATTATTTATATGTGTAGCGCCATACCTTTTGTAGCATAACACAATCCGGTTATAAAAGTAGCAAACTCCATATGCAACTATACATATTAATTCACAGAATTTCCAGGTTCATCGAGCATTATTGCTCCGTATGTATTAAGAACCTCCCTAAAATTCAACTTTTTAAATAAAAAAAAACTTTAATTGATGATTTTTACCGATCAATAACATTTTATATAACAATAACACATAACTACTCAATGATATTTTGAGCCAGTATCTGCAATTGGATTTATTAGCCTCCAACTTGCTGGAGTTTCGTCGGGTGAGCACAGAGTATTTGTGTTCAGACGTTTTTGTTTAAGTCTTTTTATATTATTCTTGTTATATATGTGTAATATTCTTTTTTTTATGTATTGTTGTACTCATGCTTTCCTGAGTGGGCGTATTGGAAGACTGCAAGGCTCACCCAGTGGATGTAATAAATAAATAAATAAATTTTGTTTCCCAAAAAAAGCACTTGCTTCAATCGTGACAAAATCAGTCGTTTTGATTTAAAAATCAAATTACTTAAACATCCCAAATCAGTTGAAGTTCTGAGTAAACAACATAAAAAAAAAACAATTGAATTAAGAAGTTTTTACTGTCCTTGAAGTCAATTGAAAATAATCGTAGACCTGACTTTTTACCAAATTAAGTTTATTACAGAGAAAGGTATATCATGTCATCATTCGATGCTTCACATATAATGTGGGTAATAAATAGTACTATTATGGGATGCAAGGAAGGGATTGTTAATAATGCAGATTACCAGTCCCATTGCTAACAATATACCCTGTCATCTAGACGTGGTCCCTTCTGGAAATCATTGTGCTGAACTCCAAGTGTATTCATTACGATGGATTAATTGGTCTGCCTTTTCATTCCCCCCTATCATTCTTCATTGGTGCCTCCTAGCGTACACCGTTAGCGCAGGCGGGGTTACAATTCCATTAAAAAAAAAACAATGATAGAATTATGTATGAGTAATTCTAATAATTACATGTAGTATAAAAACTTGATCTCACAAAGTGCGACGCCGCGCTCCGTAGTGGAATGGCGGCAAAAGCATGTACGATACGAATGGTAACTAAGCCATAAGAATAGTAAATAATCAGATTTTAATTTATTCTACCGCTACTGCTTTGTATACATAAGAATCCGATGAATCATTGATAAGGACGCGCGCGTTGTCTCACCGCTGTGTACGAAGCGCCTTAAAGGTGTAGATTTTTTTTAGCAAAATACTCCAAAAAATACAATTGAATTGAGAATCTATCAAAAACAAATATATTTCCCAGGGAGAAAATTTGCTTAAAAGTCGTTTGCTTGGGCGCCTCTGTCCCATTCGTGTTTCTACTGTGAAAAAGTTTTGTTTGCACGGTTGTGTTTCGGTTTTAAGGATGGGATATGACAGTGAATTCACAGTTTACAGGGTACACAAGTATAATACCTTAGTCTTCAGGAATGGGAACGCATGGGGTATCATGGGCGAAATAGTATACTCTGCTTTCTCCATAGTACTGCTCTTGTGTATAGGCGACGGGTACCACATTTCATCAGGTGGACCGTCAACTTATTTGATATAATAAGTTGCATAAAAAAACAATATCTATCCTTGTATTTTAAGAATGTAGATAATAGTTTAGGTTACCATGCTTTATATTATATACTTCATTACATTAAAATCATTTATAATGATTACACACATCATCACATCACAGATATAAGAATGCTAATACTCGAACACTCAGGTTATGGGCTGAGCTCCCTGCCGAGGTTTTCCCAAGAGACTACAGCATTGGGTTCTTTAAAAGGGGGGTAAAGAGGTTTCTTCAAGGTCGGCAACGCGCGCGTCATACCTGGCGTTAATAGGTTACGGTAACCGCTTACCATCAGGTGGGCCGTATGCTTGTTTGCCACCTCAGTGGTATAAAAAAAAGTTAAAACTACAAATTTATTAAAGTGAAATTTGAAGCATAGTTTTATTTTATAAAGTAAGCATCTGCTTTAGCAGATAAAATTTTGCATTTTTTAAAATTAGAAAATGTTAACTCGAAGGGAAAACATGACGGACATCGCGTCTTCTAAGCCACGGGCAACAGATAGTAATAAGATATGAGGGACTTAACTTGAAATACAGATACAGAATCCTCCAAAATATGCATAACTGTTTTTTGTACACATATAGATAATAGATATTACGTACAAATAGTAAAAAGTCCGGAACTTACATAACAACTCTGGGTACATATTCCGACAATAGAAATAAATTACATATCAATCATTTTTGGCTGTGGGCGAACATTGATAAAATAATTACCTATACCGCCTTTGTGGTTTCTTCTAGAGATGGGCAATGGTTCGAAAAAATTATAACCGAATCAATCGTTCCACAATTTCCTAATCAATGATTTATCGTTCAAGAAATGAACATAAATATTGCAATCAAAACATATCTAATAATTAATGGCTACAGATAGGTATAAAATTAAGTTTACAGAGGCATATAACACTTGTTATCGAAAACAGCAAAGTATGAGAGGTCGAAATAAATTCAGTGATATCCATGGTACTCTTTATGCATGTAAGCAACTGTTATTACTTCCCATTAGATTGCCTAGCAGATTCTGTGATATTATAAGTAGTGTTTTTTATACTACTTTAGTGGTTAACAATCATACGGACCGTCTGATGGTAAACAAAGTTACCGTAACCTATGGATGCCTGTAACACTAGGGATGTCACGCGCCCACCGATCCTTAAGAAACCTTAATACGCCCTTTTTGAAGAACCCCATGCTGTAGTCTCAAAGGAAACCTTCGGCAGGAAGATTACTCTACAACGTAAGTGTTCGCGGGAGGAAGATCTTCTGAAATTTCACTGTGCGTGACCATTCTGGTTCTAACCTGTGAAGATGAATTCCCAACCGATGGCCAGCGGTGCGATGGTTATAGGTGACTGTGGGCATCATATGGAAAAGTTCTTCAGAACACATTTTTATGTAAAAATAATAACAGAGTTATGTTACGCTAAAACCATGAATTAGCTATTTATATTTAAAGCAATCTAAGAGAAAAGATTAGATTTTTCATATGGTTATTTATAAGGAATAAACTCAAAATCTACTTAAAAAATCTTTAATCTATGGGAAGCTAAATTATTATCGAGTAATATATATTTTATAAAAATGTAAAATACTGGTTAATTTTTCTATCCACCTTTATGAAACTGTTGTGGGTCGCTGGTCTGTAATAAATAGTATTTTCATAAAACCCTGATGTTACGGAAAATCGGTTCGGAGCCTTGAATACTGAAAGCATTGTTCGTGACTTAATAATGACAAATATTTTCTTTGTTCTAGTTAAGAAATAGGACCGCAACAAATTCTCTAGTTGTAGAACGTGGAATTGTTCAATATTTATCAACTTCTCATAATAACGTAGTTGTAATGTTTTCGATTTTCAAACAATGCGCGTTATACTATTCGTATTCATAATTACTATTCAACAATATACTTAGATTATTCAAATGATCATAATTATTGTCCCACTGCTGAGCACGAGTTTCTACCCTATAGCCTATAGCAAGAAGGCTTGAAATAATGCTACGTAATTTGAATTATTTTCTCTTCCTACACATTTTCTGTTTCTTCTTTTCATTTAAGAGTTTCCTCTCGTCGGTGCAATTAATTCATGCATCGTCTTCCAGCCAGCTCTATCTCAGGTCATATCCTTGACCTCCCTATACGCCATGACACTTAGTGTCTCTTTTGTCTGCCCCATATAGTTATCCCTTCCTCTTCCTTTTTTGTCCTATATTTTTCCTTCTACTATGCTCTTTAAAAAATAGTCGTATAAGATGCCCCAGCATTTTGTCTCTTCTATTCTTTATTGTTTTTATTAATATTCGTTTCTCATTCACCCTACAAATAAGATATTTTAATTGCACATTTCCATTTTTAAGCTTCCCACTGTTTAATTATAACATTTTAGATTTTATGCTAATTTTCTTTTAAATTGTTTAGTACTTAAAATATAAATAATTTTGATAATGTATTTTTTTTAATTTTGTAAAATATTATTTAGAAATTATATTACAGTTACTTACATTTACTAACTAAACAGAAGTAAATATCATTTTTAAAAACGTTACCTAGTAATATACTTTATAAGCATGCCTAAAATCCAAAATTATTCATCTCATTATAATCGTATCGTGCGGTTTTACCACTGTAAGATTTTAGCAAATCATGGTGCAAAAAGATTACAGCAATTAAGGCTTATTTTCTTCATAAAACAGTTGATGGCGTCTAATCACTGAACAATTTATGAAAAACTTTAGTGCAGAATTCGTGTCCAAAAAAATCCAAAAAGAAATATGCACGATATAGCATCTACGATTTTGAATATAGGTTCTGCTGTTTAAAATAAAAAAAAATAAATAAAAAATGTATGACATCTATAACGTCAGGAGAAGATTCTATTATTAAAAACGTAAAAGAAAAATGTGATACAGCGTCAATCATTTCAAACCTAGGTTCTCTCATTAAAAATTTAAAAAGAAATATATAAGATGTAACGGCTGTGATTAAAATTTAAAAATCTATGTTCTGCTATTAAAAATTTAAAAGAAACATGTATGACGTAGCGTCTATGATTTCAGATATTGAGGAAGGCCAGCAACCTGGGCAAGAGAATGGCCCAGCCACTAGACAGCTTCCTCTGCCCGGTAAGACAGTCTGGGCATGGTTTTGTGGCACTATGGGTTTATATTCACAATAACGTTGCATTTGTTTTTTGGGTCGCATGATTTAGATCATCTGTGCTGTCTTTCTAATGTCATAACTTCCATAATTACATAGATTGTCAAGAGTCTATTTGTTGATATGTTTGTTGTCATTGATGGTTTTTTTGGTGTTGTCGCACGGGGTGCACATTCAAAGATCTGTCCTGCACATCTTTAAAACTCATCTCGAAATTATATGTATTTATTGAATGTAATATATTATAAAAATTAAAATTATTTTAAATATTTATTTTATAGGACTAAACAAATACTGTACGTACGGTGCTTGCTCAGAAATCTAAATTCTCTAACACTTAAACATCGTTTCATGATTCTACTAACTATGGATCATAATCTAAATATATCTAAGACTATCTATCATAAAAATAGCATAAGTACAGTAGCTAATAATTATATGCCTCCACGTAACTAGAATTATTGTACAGGATCTAGACTGCAACTATAGTTGTGAAAATGTATTATTGCTTATTTTAATTATAAATATTTTATTAACTATTTGATTTAGGTTAAAATAAATAGATACTAATGCAGTTGAGAATTTGAGAAGATTCATTAGATTTATTTAAGTGATCATTGTGTCACATATATTTATTTATTCTTTATTGTACACATAAAATTATTGAAATGTAGATAAATTTTTTTATCACCCCATTCTTTTATTATTCTCCTTCTTCTTTTAAGAAACATTAAAATGATATTTTCTGTTTTTATATTCTTTATTATTAATCCTTATAAAAAGTAAGGTAATTCATTAAGATATACTAATACCTAATCATAATTGTCGTTAATTGCCGGAACTTTAAATACATATTGATATTATGTATTATATATTTAGTTATAAAATATATTATAAATAAATAAATAAATTACTAGAAAAACACTGGTACACTTCCACATATATTCAAGTCATTATTTAGAAATTATAGTTTTTACTAAGTAATCAAATTAAAGTTATATAACTAAATTCTAACAATTTTTCCTTTCCTTGAAAATCATAATCAGACCATCTATTAACATACGTACCTATTTAGAAAAAATATTAGTTTGTTTTTCAATAAACGGCATTTAATTTTTATTTGAATGAAAGATCACTCTAGTTATAAAAAATCATCAATTTTTAAGATAAACAAGACTATTTTTTACTAATATTTATCTTCAATAGAAAAAAATACACTAAAATTATCAATGTGTTATTTATGTTTATTTTTAACAACGTAAATAGTATTGAGATAGTAATGCAAATTCACAATATTACAACTGCAATACACTCGTTTGCTGGGTCATGAGCGATGTAATTTTATCCTGCCTTTAAAAATAAAAGAACGAACAAGAACAAAATCTACTTTCAAGTGTATAACAAGTTGCTCGAGTGAAAGTAAGTGAATGCGACTAGTGGTATGGTATCATCATTCAATCAGATATTGTTGTTCAATTTATCATTGCTTGTTTTGCATACCAATGTTTTGTTTGTTATTATTCTCCTATCATGATTATATTTTTTTTAGCACATAGACTGTGCAGTACAGATAAATGAGTTTTTGTTTCTTCTTCTTAAATGATTTCAAAAATGGAATATTTTAATTTGGTTGAATATTTAAATTTTTTATTGTGTTATTTAAAAAAAAGAATTACAGTTTCACAAGTATTGTCAATGGATATTGATTTGGTATTCTGTAGCATACAATATGTTTTTCTTTTGTATTATAAAAAAAAAATATTTTTGTTTTTTTTTTGTTTTTGACCCATGATACGAATACTAAATAATGAACGCGAAAACAAGATCTACAATCTGTAATTAAAACTATATAATTTCCCATATTATCCTTTTCGATTCATGTTTATTTGGACAAAAAAATTACAATAATTCACCACTCCTTCAAATGCGGAAAAGACAATCAGTAATGGTGTTCTCTACGCTAACAATGTACTTTGTCAGGTCGACCTTCACGCGGTCTTTCCTGGAAATCATCATAGTTAATATCTTGTAAATTTGCCACGATGGGCAAATTGACCTGATATAATTCTCATGATTTCAACCTTCACCAGTGTCTCATCATTGTATACTGTTAGCATAGGCAAGTGCACCATTCCATTTTCATCCATTAAAAAAAACACTGCCCTAAAAAAATTTAAATATATAGTTTGGATTTTTGCCTTTATACACATTGTTTTAAATCACACAACGAAGAGTCTGATTGTGATCTTGATTTGTGTTTTGTATACAATATCTTTAATAAAACTAGTTTACTGCTTTGGTTGCCACGTTGAATGATGGCACACAATTTAATATTTATTTTAACTTCCTACTCCCACAGTGGGAAGTTGATTTATTTTTATGTTTATTTCCTATATAAAATCTGTCCAGTATAAAAATAAATTATTTAATCAGTCACACATATTTTAGCGTCATTATTTTTTTTTTATAATGATAACTATAAAACGAGATAATAACAAAATTTCATAGAAATATTATTTGTTTTGTCGCTGCCGGATATGCAACTATGTATAAGTATTTACTCAACATACTTATATGTACCATAATATGTATTTTCTATTGCATCCATATTGCTTTTACATTTTCAAATAAATTAAAACTAAAGTGACTTAAAAACAAACAATGGGGAAGAAAAGTTCTTGAGTGACGACCTTGTACAGGCTAAACTATTGTAGGACAACCTCCCACTAAATGGATTGACGACCTCAAATGCATTGCAGGAAGTCATTGTATGTAGATGGCTCAGGACCGTTCCTTATGGCAGACTATGGGGGAGGCCTATGTTCAGGTGTGGACGGGTAATGGCTGATATATATAATATTAAAAAATGGCTGTAGCAATAAACTGAAAGCGTGAAGACTTTGAATTATAAGAAAGCAAATACCAGAGGGAGACTTTATACAAAAGTGGATTGCTTGGGTACCTCTGTCCCATTCGTGTTTCTACCGTGAAGTAGTTGTGTTTGCATAGCTGTGTTTCGATTTGCAGGGTGGGATATGGCGTGAATTTACAGGGTACAGAGGAATAACACCTACTCAGGACTCCCTGAAGAATGGCAATGCATGGGGGGTATCATGGGCAAAACAGTATACTCTGTTATGTCCATGGTACTGCTCATGTCTACAGGCGACGGTTACCACTTTCCATCAGGTGGGCCGTCAGCTTGTTTGCCATTCTAAGTTGTATGAAAAAAAAATAATAAAAAAAAACACCCATATCATCATATCAGCCTTTAACTGTCCATTACCGAACATAGGCCTCCTATTAGGGGTTTTGCCAAACTTGACAGGCGAAAACAACTGTACAGTAAGTAGTAAATCATTACCATCATCTTTTCAGCCATTATTTGTAATCATAAGTAGTAAATAAAAAGTAATAATAGTATTTTTTTTTATTTTATTTAATACTGTTTAAATCTGCAAAAAACTGGATGTTCCATAAAAAGTATTATATAAATAACTTAATTATTATTTTGTAGACTTATTTTCCGTTTTATATCCGTGTAAATTACTAAATATCTACATGGATTAAGTTCTTTTGAACAGTTCTTTTTGTACGAATTATAATACGGAACAAACGTGAATAAACGTAAAAATAATGTGTATGTAAACAAACAAACCAATTATAAAACGTGTACGTTGTTTGTTATAAAAAACAGGCGTAAACATTTAATTGCTTTATTATGTTTTCACTTATTTCAATATTTTATTCATAATTTTATCTAAAATATATTTCTTCCATTTTAGAGAAATTGCCAGATAAACATATACAGTCAAATGTAGGTACTTTTATTAAGTACTTATTTATACGTATAACTAATTATTCGCAGTCTTTATTATTTATCTTATTCTTATAAAGGTGTTATTATGTAAAAATATTCAACTTCCTACTTTTTTAATAGAATTCGTTTATTTATTCTTTATAAATTCAAGTTTATTTATTTTTATACAATTCTCGATTCCCAAACATCAAATAACTTTTTATGCTAATTAATGATTACATTGTTATCCGTATGTTTATCTATGTTTTATATTACCTTTGCTCATTTTATTAAAAAAAAAAATTACATTAATACATACATACTTTTACTTAAATTCGTTTTCCTAAAATTCCAAAAAACAAAATTATTGTAAGGGACCACTAATTTAATTTACGCTTAACCGATTTCTAATATTCTACCTACTGTCTAGCACCGAGCTGGATGTTATAGATCCAATGTAACTTTAGTACTATAAATTATAAGAATTATTTTGGTCTGGCAATTTAAATTGGTTATTGGACGATACAGTGAAAGGACTATCTCCGGAGTCAGCCATTTCCCTTTCGCTTTAAGTACTTAAAACTAGTAAATATATGCGTTAGCGGGATTGTATAATTGTATTACATCATTGCTATCAGAGTGGATTGTAAGGGGCTTTCCTCAATGAATAGAATGGTATAAAGTACCTTTAGAACTGATTGATGCTAGTAATCTTACGATAATGGCATTACGGAAATTATTTTTATCAAATAAAATAGCTGCCTCTTTAAGAAATCCGTATATTAGAGTCATTAAAAATATTTATAAATTTGTGGCAATTTATTAGTATTTTAATAATCGGATCTTACAGACGATAAGGTACTTTTTTTTCGAAGACCTTTCTAATTTGTTTTATAAACCATTTCATAAGCTATATTGATAACAAGGTACTAATTTTATATAAAAAAAAAAGTTTCTAGTGATATTTTAGCCCAACTAGACAACATTTTTAGCACGGTATGAAATTACGCAATTTGCTTTTGAATCTCATTAATAAGACTCATAAAAAAGTATTATTGTATCTAATTATTATTAGTATCTAGAATTATTGTAACAACAAAAAGTGCTTATAATTTGTCTATATACATGCATAACGGAAATTTTATGAACTTATTATGTTTGTCGTTT